AACCTTTTGATCGGCATTCTCTCTCAACGTTGTCGTTAATGGCAAAGATAATTTCAAAATCTCATAGTTAATCACAAATAAAAAAAGTTTGGCCTATATTTTATCAGCGTCGACATCTGGTAAAAATTTGATAATGCTATTTATCTAATCATGTAAACTGGGTAAACTGTTTTCAGAAATTCTCGAAATGGCAAGATCGCCAAAATTTGATGTATCAAAACATGCCATGTCCATATATAATTGTCAATGTGAAGTGAAACGTTACTCAAGACTTTGGACTATCTGATCCATCACCGCGTTGTAAGTCCAAATTCTGTAGGGTTCCAAAGCTTTAGATTCCTCATGTATGTTTATCTAACATATTGGTGTCTTCCGCTTCCCTTTAACTGTTAGTTCTATCTTCACCTCTAATATGGTTTCAGTTTTCTGGATGATGCTTGCGTTTGCCATCCGAACAAATTAAAGAGCGTTATTACGAACATCATCAAAAAATCTTGATTGACTTTTCAATTCAATTGCAGCCTTATCCACCATCTTGAATGCAACCAACACATTTAATCCACGAGTTTGCAAGAATATTGAAAGTTGTCCCACTTTTTCAAAAATTTGCAGGTAGGTAAAGGCAGTGAAAATGGTGTCGAATTTCGGGAATGGCATAAGTAATGTCTTAGTTTCATGACGTGTTTTTGCATCAAAATTTTCTGATTCGCTTATAAATGACACAAAAAATTAAATTGATAAACACTGTTGAAGATGGCTCAGGAAATGTTCCAAATATCGCCGTTGCAGCATCTGATTTACCCGACCACCTTATTTCACCAATCAATTTCAATCTTTTCATCTTATCCATTTCCATTTGTGTTTTAACAAGTTTAATCCAAGTCGCCATTTGCTTATATAACACTTTTATTGATGTTGAAACATTTTGCAAAAGGTTAAAAAATGAAACTACCTGAATGCAGCAACTGGTTGCCTCCTTCACAACTAAGTTGAGAACATGAGCATAAAACCAAATATGTACATGGTGGTCTGCAGCTTCTGTAATCTTTTGTTGCAGTCCGTTGTACTGACCATGATAATTTGAAGCACCATAACTGCTGTCCGATAGGCAGTATTGCAAATTAAAGCCAAGCCGCTTTAGCGTCAAATTAAAGAGATCGAACTTGCTTTGGCCAGTACCGTCAGTGCTTGGTAAAATAGAAAGCAGCCGTTCATGAACAGTAGCATCTAAAACATAGCAAACGAAAAAGCTGAATTGGTCAATTGCAGATATATCTTGTGTAGAATCAACTTGTAAGGAGTACACTTTTGCTTTGGACACTTCCATTGCAATCTGTTCCTGTATCATGTTTTTTATAATATTGAGAAGCTTTGATATAGTCTTACATGAAAACGTCACCAGAGCACAGCGACCTTTACTGCCGGCTTTACCTTGACGTTTCAGTTTTTCTATTCTTTTGATTAATTTCTCTTGACACATGGAGAGATAAGAAGCTAAAAGTGCGTCATATTTGGCCAAGAGCTGGACCAAAGCCAAATTTCCATTATTTTTTTCATCATGAGGTGCTTTAAAGATAAAAAGTGTTATTTATGTGTTACATAAACATTAATTTTTTAAAATTTATAGGCCAATGTTCAGAACATACAACAGTGTATTTGCTTTCAGGAATGTTGCTTCTTGCCACTTTCTACGTTTTTCTAGATCTTTTGGTAATTTGTAAACAGCACACTTTTTTATCTGTTAAATAATTAGTAGAGCAATTCGCAACACTTTTCACTTTAAAGTCATAATAAGCCTCAAGAAATTTTTTTTTTCTAATTTTAAGCAACGTTATTAACCTTCGGTAAATATTTAAGAGTTAATCGGCCTCCAGTTATTTTTACGGTTTGCACGATTAATAGGCCTGGGTTTTAGATAGCCGTCAATCTATCCATTAAACTTGGTTTATCTAATCTTGTAATCTATCCATTAAACTTGGTTTATCTAATCTTGTAATCTATCCATTAAACTTGGTTTATCTAATCTTGTAATCTATTCATTAAACTTGTATCGATAAACGCGCTTAGCAAATAGATTAAGGGGATCTTGTAAGCAAGCAATCGCACACTTTTAAATTTTCTACACATAATTTTATTAAAATTGTATTTTATTTAGACAGCCTAATTATATTACTTCCGTTTTTAAACATTTATGTACTACATTCAAATCATTTTAAACATATTTAAAATCTAAGATTATATTAAGCAAAAAATTAAAATAATATCATATATAAATAATATATACAAATAATATCATTAATAAAAAATATTATTATTAACATCACAAGTACAATATATCGACAAAAACATAAAACTGATACAAAACTACAATATATCGACAAAAAACATTAAACTGCAACGTTACTAGTTAATAAAGTATTTTTACCTTAATTATGTTTAAGTCAATTTCTTTTCTTTAACTATTGGCTAATGATCAATATAATAAATTTCAAATCATTACAATTTACCATATTGAAACCATATTTCTACAGTAAGTAGTTCAATGAAATTTAAACAAAAGGTAGAACTAAAGAAATAAAATTTTAATTGAATATAAAAACCATAAGCATATTTTAAAAATAATTTAAACCTAAATAAATAGAAAATAAAAAAGCATCATACTTGCAGCTTGTTCATAGTCTATGATGTTAAAAATAAAAGATAAAATATTAATAAATCAAAACTCTAACTTGTGGCCCCTCTTATTAAAAAACTAAAACTTCACTGTAAAAAAAACTCCGTTGTATTTACCAGACTTTTTCCGTGGTTCAGTAACGGAAAAAAGCCGTTTCCAATAAATTACGGTCTTTTACCGTACTTTTAGGCCTTTTTAAATGATTTATATGTTTTTGTCCGTATTTATGATAAGGAGAAGTAAATTACGGACTTTTACCGTATATCTTAGTATACTTAAGTATTATCTCTAATTTACTGAGCGCCATTTTTTTTTTCACGAGAAGATATTATAATACACATTGTAATTTCAAATATGGAGATATTATACAAATTATAATTTCAAAGTTAGATATTTTAATTTATTTATATTTTTTTTAATGGAACTTGAATGCTACATGTTTTTCAAGAAGTACGTTCACATAAAATTCTAATTAATTTTGATAATCTAGTTATATATATATATATATATATATATATATATATATATATATATATATATATATATATATATATATATATATATATATATATATATAGTCTTGCATGTCTCTTGCGTAGCATCAAAAAATATTTCCCATAAACTGTAGTTTTAAAGAGCGCGTTAATAAACCAGACCAGAAAAAGTTTTAAAAATTAAATTTTTTTTTTTAATTGATAGACTGCCTGGCCAAACCAAACCCTCAGTCGATGTAGCAGCACTCTCTTGCGAGTCAGGCTATTTGTCAGTCGTTGTAGCAGCACTCCCTTGCGAGTCAGGCTATTTGTCAGTCGATGTAGCAGCATTCCCTTGCGAGTCAGGCTATTTGTCAGTCGATGTAGCAGCACTCCGTTGCGAGTCAGGCTATTTGTCAGTCGATGTAGCAGCACTCCGTTGCGAGTCAGGCTATTTGTCAGTCGATGTAGCAGCACTCCGTTGCGAGTCAAGCTATAAGATAGTCGATGTAGCAACATTTACGCATGTTTAAAAAATGTTTTTTTTTAAATCAATAACAAAAACACCACTAATTAAAAAAAACTTTCTAGTCGTTATAATTGCAGTTTTTTAAAAATTTGTTAAAAAACAATTAAATTTAATGTACTTCCGCATAAATTAATTGCTTTGACATTTCGACGACAATCAAAAACAGCTTAAGAGACGAGTAATTAAAATTGTAGTCGTAAGAGACTTTTTTTACATTAAAATGCTCTTAAAGCGACACTATATGAGTATATATATATATATATATATATATATATATATATATATATATATATATATATATATATATATATATATATATATATATATATATATATATATATATATATATATATATATAGTATAGATATATATATATATATATATATATATATATATATATATATATATATATATATATACACATATATTAGGTACGTGTGAATATCCGTAATTTGCCGTAAAAAAAGTAAGCAAAAAACTGTGACCTATTTTTTTCACTTTGCGAAAACACTACTTGCGTTAAACAATATTGTGCCGCTATTTATGAACCAAATTAAATAAAAATTGGTAGTCGTTTAGTAAAAAGGTTAAGCTATACATTTTTATATTTTATTTTTATTGTCAAAAATAAAAAAAAATTTTATTTTACAATGTAAATCCTCATTGTTTTTAACGAGCTACAACTCTGTAAGTTATGGCGGGTCCTTCTTGAAATTAAATAGTCCTTTAGATAATTTATTTATCTGCTGATGTTCAAAATTTGAAGTTAATTTGTTGTGCGCATATTGTTTTCAAGAGTCATCAAGCATACCACGTATTTCGGTGAAATTAAGAATTTCTCGCATTTTAATCTTTAAAAGTTTTGCTGATCACGGGATAATTTCTTAAAATTTGATTGGTTTAAAAAACTTATTTAGTTTGACGGTGTTACGAGAAACATGTTTGTTAACTTTTGAGAAATAAGACTCTTATTAAGAATATTTTGGTATTTGTGTGGATTTAATTTATTGGTAATCATTTTAATATATTGCTTACTGTTTGTCTATAAAATACAAGTTAAAAAGTCAGCTGTATGTTTTTTGCTTGTTAAAAATTATTTATGGGCAGTTTTAGAATAAGGAACTTAATATTTATAACATTTAATAAATGTTATAAATATATAAATAGAATAAGGAACTTAATATTTATAACATTTAATAAATGTTATAAATATTAAGTTCCTTATTCTAAAACTGTCCATAAATAATTTTTAACAAACTAAAAACATACAGCTGACTTTTTTTGATAAATGATTTATCAAAATTATCTTTGATAAATGATTTATCAAAAAGATTATATTTTTAAAACACTTTTTTTTAAATTTTAAAAAAAAAATTACAAATTTTATAAAATAAAGAACAGAACACCTTTTATTGTTGAAACTTTGATGTAATTATCTTTGACATGTTAATGTAAGCCTTATTGTTATATTTTATGTGAAAAAATTTGTTTTCATTTTTTGATTTTATGTGCAGCAATTCAAGTTTTAAAATGTCAAAAAGAAAATGCAAAAGTGCAATTTTCGATTATCTTAAGTCCACTTACAGCGAACTGCCTCTTTCTGATAATTCGACTTCTTATCAGCTATGTTTAAAAGGACATGTTATTTATTTGTATATTCAAAATGGATTTTCAGCTACTAAAACAGAAAAAAAATAGATCATCTAGCAAAGTTATATAGTGACTTTTACCAGCAAAAGTACTTGGAATTACGAAGTACTATTATTAGCAATATAAGTAACACCATGAGCGACCGAGTTGCCACAAACCATGCAACAGTAACTAAGTTAAACAATTTGTGGCAAAAGTCATTAAATGAACTTAACTGTCATCTTCATCCATTAGACACAATAACCAGTGCTTGTAAGTCATCGCTTAAAGCATTGGAAACTTCACAAGGGAATCTTTTTGGTAAAGACTGTGTTGCTGCTAACATTGTTGTTCAGCTTAACAAACTCCGTTACAAGGATGGTAAAGGTATATATATATATATATATATATATATATATATATATATATATATATATATATATATATATATATATATATATATATATATATATATATATATATATATATATATGTATGTATGTATATATGCACACACATATAAGCAGTTTTTGTTATATTTACTTTATTGCAGTGTAATTTTGTTGATGTTTTAAGTTTATCAAGTTATTGCTTTAAGTTTATAAGTTTTTGAATAGAAGATTTAAAAAGTGAATTGCTTTAAACTCGCAAAGGACTTCTATACAGGGTATAGATATATATACATTGTATTTTCTTAATTAAAGGTGACCCGAAGGGTTTTGTTATATTTTTGGATAACAACAAGCTCCCTAGAGGACTACTACCTCGCTACAAGGGAAATCGACTACACATCCTTTTTCACACGTGTGGAGTCTTAATTCATTACTATGCTCTGTTGAGAACTTTCCTGCATTCTGGTGTGGTTTCATGTGGAGGACTGAGAAATAGCTTGCTCCTAGACTTCACATCAGACACTGGTAAATATTTTATATATACTTTATATATTGGAAATCAGATAATGGCTTTTAATCTTCTATATGGTTTTTTTTTAATCGCATTTGTATATTCATTTCAGGTATACGCGAGCTGTGTGCTATAGGTTTAATGGGAAAATTATTGACCGGTCCTTGGATGACCAATTTCTATGTTGCACAAAGTGAAGTTGACTTTTTGTCTGGTGTTGAAGTGGTTAAAGGTGTTCGCAACATTCTTATTGAGAGTCAGAAGAATGCTCTTTCTTTATTAAACCGAACAACAGACTTTTTTGGTGGTTGTATTAATGATCCGGTGTTTGATTCTAATGTTAACTTTTCTCCAAGAACTGATGAAATGAGAGACGCAATAGTCTGCTGTTTGAGTGCTGTTGTTAATGTCATTGACCGGCAATACAAGCGACTGTTTAACTTGAATACAACTGATAAACTTAAAGCCCAGACATTATCAGCACGACTTCACAATATTGACTCAGAAGAACTTATGGGTATGTTTAGTGCTGCAAAGCAAAAAGCACCAAATGCTACACTCTGTTTCTTATCAGCAAAACTGCGTGCATGCAAAAATAAAACCACTGAGTTCCTCTATGAAAAACCTATTGAGGTTCGAAACAAATTGATATTATAGGCCATATCCACTGCTAGAAAAAAGCGATTTGCAAACATACAAAAACATGAGGAATTGAAGATAGAACTGATTAAACGAATGGCTGCCAAGCTTCAAAAAAAGGAGGAAAAAGAAAGAAAAAATGTAGAAAAGATTTTAAAAAACTGTGTACCTCAGCAAATACAAATACTGTTTCCTGATCTTGAAAATAACGAGGCTGCAGATATAGAAGACATTCTTTTTGGTGATGTTATTGGACGAAATATCTGCCACATGTGGTATGATTCTGTCACTAACACTCAGGAAATCTACTACGGGCGAATTCTTAGATTAAAAAAAAAAACATTGGTGTATATATCATTTCTTACTGGAAACCAAAGGAGTGTGAGGACGAGGATGCTATTGAGTATGATATGAATAAATATCAACTGTCTGCAGATATCATATGTGGTGATTTGGCGTTATCAGATGATACGAGATCAATGCTTTAATGAGATAATACGCATCTTTAAACTTCTTTCTATTGGTCAGCTAAACTCTTCAAAAAAATAAAACGGCTTTTTTCATAGCCACAATTTTCTTGAGAATATTATTAGGCATTATTTAGGCCCTCAGGACTTTGTGAAGCCCCTAAATACTAATTAAAAATAAAATATTAACTATACAAAAAAATAGATAGAAGATAGAAGTTATAAATTAATGCATATTTTTTTTTTTTGTTTTTTTTTTATGTTGTTTTTTATATTTATCGTTATTAATAGTTCACATAAACAATCTCAGAAAATAAGTTTCTTATTCATTATGCATATGTATACATTATCTTTTTTTTAGTATTCGCACCATTTAAAGGCACCAAGAAATTTAGTAGCCATGGCGCAGTGGTTTAGCAGTTGTGGCGCAGTGGTTTGAGCATTGGACTCTTGATCCAAGGTTTGCGGGTTCGATCTCAGCTCGAAGCAAATAAACGTTATCGGTAAAGGTGGAAATAGAAAGTTATCTTAATAAATGCTATTCTTCATGTGGCGGTTCTCTGTGACAAGACCATTAGGACTTCTTAGAGCACCTTAATAACTAAAAACAAAAGTTTTAAGATTTAATAGGAGTGTACCTTACCACTTTTTATTCGGCTAATTTTTATTTTTTAACTATTTGATTTATAGGTGGGCGGGGGGGTGACGCCCCACATCCTATAATTTATTTATGTCACTAATATATGTGTAATTTAATAAAATGTTATTTTCAATTTCATTCTATTTTCACTAATTTTAATAATGATAAAAATATTTATCAGAATGTAGCAATTTTGATACTAGGGCGTGTACCATCACCTACCCTACTTTATAAAATACACCACTAATAGATGCTTGGCAACTGGAATAAAAAATAACAACTTTGTTTATAAAAAAATTACTAATTTTATATAATAAAAACTATCTTTAATGGAAAAAAATGTGCATTTGTTGATGGCAGAGACAGCTCTTTTGTCCCCCCTCTAGCCCCCCTTAGCATACACAGGTGTTAAAAGCTAATAAAACTTGTAGCCCAATGTTACACCTATCTTTTGATACCAAGATTTATGCATTTAGAAAAGAATTGACAACGTTAAGGTGGTTTAAGTTACAAAACCACTATAAATTGGTCACAGTTTTGTTAAGGAATCCTTGTAATCACATTTCGTTACTATAATGCTCATAACTTTTCGTAGAATTATCCAATTTTGATAAAATTTTCAGTTTTGGAATATTTTTTTAAAAATCTTTCCAATGATATATAAAAATCTAATACTTAAACAACTTAAAATTTTTACACACGTACCTACATATATACATATATATATACACACATATATATATATATATATATATATATATATTATTATTATTATTATAATTATTATATATATATATTATATATATATATAATAACAATAATAATAATAATCTCAAATAAATATACTGTCAATCACACTAGACCTCCTAGCCACGAAATTTTACTTTCATAGCTGTCTAAAATATTTTCAGACCAGTTAGCTGATGGCATGAGTTAGCAAACACTTTTGTGGCTGGCTAGCTGACTCATTTTTTTGGCTGCTTAGAGTGATGATTTTTATATTAAACGCTCACTACTTATTTTTTTTCTTTTAGAGTCCAACTTAAAGGGATTCTACTGTGTGTGTGTGTGTATATATATATATATATATATATATATATATATATATATATATATATATATATATATATATATACAGGCTCGAAAGGAGGTTATGAATGGTGTGATCATTGGTGATTTTCAGTCAGTCACCAAGGTCACGAATGCACTAAATTTAAAAAAAGGCATTATATTATTTTTTAACCCAATTTTAGAATGTCTAACGCTGTGTCATTATATATATGCACACACATATTTATATATAAATATATATATATATATATAAATATATATATATATATACACATATATTATATATGATATATATGTATATATATACATATATTATATATGATATATATATATATACATATATATATATATACATATTTATATATTATATATGATATATATGTATGTATATGTATATATATATATATATATATATATATATATATATATATATATATATATATATATATATATATATATATATATATATATATGTATATATATATATATATATATATATATGTATATATATGTATATATATATATATATGTATATATATGTATATATATATCACGGCTGTTTCAAACCGAGCTTAACGGCTTCTTGTTAATTTTTGAAAATATTGACTAAAGGGGTGTTACTAAAACTTTTATAACTTTTGAAATAAGAGGTAATTTTGTTTTGTAAAAACAATTAAGACATCAATAAAATGTTTTACCTTATGACATTTAATGCATTAGTAGAAAAACTTCTTTTAGTTTAGAATAAATGACATATATTGAATTTGGCTTAATTTTTGTAATTTGATGTTACTTTTTATCAAAAAAAAATTAGAAAAATATATTCCTAATAGTTATTATCAAATGCACTAATTGTTTGACAATAATGAAAACAAAAAAACCTTACTTAATTATTTAAGGTTAACTAAAACAGCCTTAATCGAATTGTGAAAGCAAACCACATTTTTCGCAAAATTATGAAAAACGTTGTTATAAGGGGGGATTAGTTGTTAAATGAGTACTTTTTTTAATATAGAAGTTCTTGATTTAGAAAATTATTTTGGAACGCTGATAAAATCATTACATTACAAAATAAAGTTCTAATAATATGGTGTTAGGTAGTTAATAAATAAAAACTCATCAATTCTAATAAAATAATTCATGACCAAAATTGAGTTAAAGGTTTTGAATTAACCTAGCTTTTGGTAGTAGAATTATTTTATGGTACTTGTATCAATAATCTCTTCTCACAAAAAATAAAGTGTTTAAATATACACAAATAGCTGATTTAAATCTTTTGATAATTCGTTTTTATTTTCATTAAAAACTGTTTTATAATTAGTTGGTCCATTGATAAGTTCTTCAAGCAGTAAACTATCTTTGAACACCCAGATGATACTAGACTCATACATAATTCATTTAAAACCAGAAGAACATTTGGTCAACTTGGCAATTGTGATAATAAAGTTTACAACTTCTTAATTTATCAAGCTAAATTTTTACACCAACTTGATAAATGAGACTTATATTCCATTCTTTAACCAGAGAGGAGGTATGTAGAGCAGAGGTCCTGCGAAGGTAGAACTAACTTTTGATGATAAAAATTGAACGGAGATCTAATATATATAAAAAATGTTACATATTACATAACAAAGGATAAAACGTTTTTTGAATTAACTACATAAACATACAAAATCATATCCAACAAACATACCAGTTGCTCTGATCACAAATTAAAATAGTTAGCTATACATTTGATGCTAGACTTTTATTCCATTCTTTAACCTGAGCAAAGGCATTGCATAGATATAATAAACTTTTGAAAATAGGAACAGAATGGGCATCTACCTAATATATAAAATCATTGTAATAAAAAATTATTATTATTTTGAACAAACATTACAGGCATTAAAACAGAATAGAATTCTCTTATTTGTAAATTAAGGATCTTATATAATTTATCTTAGATGTAAAAAGTTTAATTTTTTTTTTAACTTTTCAAACATTTAAACTAAATTTGATGACCACAAACAAAACAAAGACCTTGTCTATAAAATGAATTTTTGCCACGTTCTGAACACACAACACACTTTCTCACCTTAGAGGCTTGAAGCTTCCTATCAGCTTTGCTGTGCAATTCAAAGCGTTTTAAAACAAGATGCAGCTTTTGCTCCTGATTTCCAACTGAATGCAACTGCCTTAATTCCTTATTTACGCTATTATGCAAACACTCTCCCTCCTCTTCACTCAGCAACCCAATAGTTTTATGCAATTTTACAAATAGTGGCACATTGAAAATGAGTTCATGCATTTTTCGCGTGATACTTTCTTTTGGAAAGCAAGCATGAAACTCAATAGCAAATAAATTTATATATTGATGAAGCTCAGAAATTTCGGCATCAGAAAGAAATTTTCGCTTAAAAAGAATAGGTTGCAAGTTATTAAAAACACTAAACACACGTACAAATCTATTTTTAATTGCTTCATCATCAATAACACTACAAAGTTTATAGTGGTTTCTTAATTGAATTATGAAACTTACCTAGAGCTCTTAGGTTTCCACCTTGTCTATCTTCACACAAGTTCTCATTGTAAGCACTTTCCAGAGATTGTATTGTCCTCCTTAAGATGTTACAATTAGCAGGTATGTGAGGCATAGAAGCATGGTTTCTTAGAGAATTCAACTTAACTAGGTCTGTAGAACTAGGAAAGCTAGCAGCTGAACCCTGGTGTCCCAGAACATCATCGATAAAATGAAAATCTCCACCTAAGAACAACCTGACTATTTTGCCTTTTAGCTTAAAATCTGACGACTGAATTCTTTTAATGTCGTTGGCATAATGCCCGAGAACTAAGGCAATATTCTCACGACAGTCTGAACCCTGATACATACAAAATAAATGAACATCATATACAGACCCTGATGATTTAGAATTGACAACTTCAAAATGGAATTTCATATACTTCCCACCCTTATCCCCAGCAAAAAGGAGCCATACCTCTTCGCAAAAACCGACATCAGAATTGAAGTGGTCACGAACGTGCAGACTATTGAAAACCTCTTCAATATAAGTTATCAAATTCTTGACCATCAATACAGGAACTAAACAAAATGCTTAATTCGCAGATGGATAAAGCAACATGGACTTTACAGTAACATGTTCTTTACTAACATGCATTGTCCGCATTTCTTGTTCTTGTCTTATCTTGGGCTCAGATGGGAGAATCCTTGCACCAAGATTACACAGAATACGTCTTAGCCTACGGAATTTAGCCGTGGGCATCCTTAATTGGCTCTGCAGCTCTACAGCATCAGAAACACTTAACTGCCTAACTAAACCCAACTTATTTGCAACACAATGAAACATAGACTTTTCACAAGACACAGAATCACAAAACAACATAGACAAATCACTTTCCAAATCTGAACAAGCTAATAATCGAAGTAATATAAAAACAAGTTTAGATCGTCTAGCTGCAGCATGCCTACCTAACTTAGAATAAGATTTACCATCTCCTAACTTAATGTAAGTATATTTCTTACCAACTATTGTATATTTCTTACCAACTATTGGCTTTTTAACTGATATAGTCTGTGGATTACTTAATTTAAACCCACAGAATAATTCAGAGGAGCCAATGTTGTCATAGTCTAAATAAGAATCAACGACAACTAAATCCTTATCACTGCTAGCAAAATATTTGCAAATTTGGCAACTGTTCTTGTTTATATCACTGATTTTTGCATTTTTTTTTTTCAAATTTAAATTTTTTTAGCAATCTTACATTTTTGGCACGAGCAGATGCAAATTTACGGTGTGCTGTTTTTAATTTTTTTTTTTTTTTTAAAGTTGGAACTGCTCCTCCTGTTTTAGCCTAATACTCATAGTCTCTAATTGAAAACTTAATGAGTTACAATGTGCGTTGAGAGCCTTGTTTTTAGAATTTAAATATATAACTTCAGTTTCCAACTTTGATACCTGTATTTTTAAATTATCTATTTGCTCCACATTATGTTTTTCTTTAGAAATTAATTGTTCAACTTGACTACTTAGTTCCTTATTCCTATTTAAAATATAAAAATTATCTGCATCTGCTGATTTTTTTTGTTTTTTTGTTTGTGGAGCTGGAGACAGTTGCATTTTAAAAAATGCTTCGTTTTTTGAAGCTTCAAAATACTTTTTAGAATCTTTTTTTCTTTGTTTTATTTTTCGGCACATTTTATTTAACACATCAATATTAGGCATATTAAACTCAATTGGCAAAAGAAAACTTAAAAAAGTAAACAACGCTTTTGGATGAAAAACTGTTAATAAAATTGAAATCACATTGTTAGTGATCTTACTAGTGTCAATTACTCGCTTTACAAAATTAAAGTTATACTCATTTTCCCAACCATCTTCCCAACCGTTGTACAGTTTCAAAATTTCCCTCTCAGTTGCATACATCACATAAATAATGATAATGATATTATAATAATAATATAATAAAAGAAAATAAATAAAATAATATTTACAAATAAATACACTAAAAATAAAAGAATTTAGCAACTTATCTGAGATTAGTCGAATATCCACGAGGAAATAATCCACGAAACTTTGCTTTATAATCTTTATTGATATAGTAATAAAATTATAATACAAACAACTTAAATAGAATAATATTGACAAATAGATGCACTAGATAAAATCGGATTGATCAACTTATCTGAAATTAGTCAAATATCCAAGAGAAATTAATCCGCGAAACTTTGTTATTTATTCTATAAAATGTGTCTCGTTTATTTTGTTTGTTTTCTTAAAATGCATCCGATAATCGTTGGGGACGTAACGATCAGAGTTTGCGTCACCGCTTTAAAATGTAAACAAGAATTTATGCAAAAAAAACTAAAAAAAATGTCGCTAAACATGCCAAGTTTGAAAACATATTTGATAACATAGCTAGAGGTACAGAAAATAATTTTTTGATTTTCTTATTCATATAAGGTTGAAGTATTACTAAATCCACAGACTTTTCAAAAATGTCATGTTTTTTATTCAAAACGAATAAAAACAAAAATATAAATGCATTAAAAACTAACTTTCTATATAAAAACTTGCAAAGTCTGTGGAAATCTAGATAGAACAGACATTCATTAATAACTGTTCTAAATTTTAACCATCGACCATGTAGCTATGTTATCAAATCTTAGTTGGCCTAAGACAGGTTTTGCGTAAAAATCGCAAAAATCAGAAAAGTGATGCCAAATTATTAACAATATTTTTACAGCTTTCATTTTTATTCCGTTTAATGTAAATGTTTATTTAACAAGGAAAGATAGATCTTTTATATTTTTTTTATTTGAAGATGAAAGCATTTATAGAAAAAAAATACTATTATTTTAAAGTTAATGAATTTTTATACTTTTTATGCGGAAATACTTTTTTTTTTGATAAACTCGTGACGTCAGGCTCGCTTTTATATTGAGTGAAACAGCCGTGATATATATATATATATATATATATACATATATATATATATATATATATATATATATATATATATATATATATATATATATATATATATATATATATATATATATATATATATATATATATATATATATATATATATATATATATATATATATATATATATATATATATATATATATATATATATATATATATTCTGTTAGAATAAACACTAGACATAAAATATATTATATTCTTTTAAAATAAACAAATACTCAAAATAAAACATATACGCAGAATCAATTTATGTTCTTACTTAAAAATATATATAATAAATGTTGTTATGTAATATAGTAATTTATTTATTTAATTCAAATAGTTAGAAAGAATTAGATGTACAATTGTAAACAGTGTGATTTTGCTCTACCTACTATTAATGCGTACATTAATCACTGTCGTTTACATTCTATGGAACCAAGATTCAGGGTTGCATGCTGTGTTTCTGGATGTTTTCAAAGCTTTTCTACTTTTTGGAATTTAAAAAAACATATCTACCGCAATCATGGTCAAAATAAGTTTAATGCAAGATTAACTTCTTTAAATAATAAAGTTATTTCATTGTCTTGCCAAGTTCCTATGTGTGGTGCGAAATGCAAGGATCAGACTGCATTGTTTATTCATTTAAATTACCATATTAGGGATAATACATCAATTCAATGCCCAATATGACAAGCATATTGGGTGGCTGCAAGATCATCACAATTTGCCCTCTTCGTTGTGGAATGTTTATGAAATAGAAAGGCTACATTCTTTAACTTATCCTTTACAGCGTGCTGATATAGTCGAATTAAATGCACTGAAAATAGTATCGTTAGTGGCTAAATGGCCATTTTTATTTAAAGCCAATCGGTTTTTACATCATTTTAAAACATTAACTGGAGTTGACATAGCTTTTATATTTGAAGAAAATCTTAAAATTAAATCTACCATAATTGTCAAATTTTTGCAACACCAAAAAGAAATGCAATTAGCCATAAATGAAATGATATTAGCTGGGCAAGGTAATGTGTTAGCACCACTTGTTGCTGCAATTTTGGGCATTTGCCAGTTTTTAAAAGAATCTTCCGAGTTTTTGTTTCATCAGACTATGGTAAATATTTTTTCCATTGATTTTTTAAATTTTATCTTCCTTGATTGAAAAAGTTAATACAGTTTAATATATTTTGTGCATATTTTATCAGTAATATTTTATCAGTAATATATTTATGTGATGTTTTAATACTTGTAGGAGCATGCAAATGTGGATGATATTGAAAAGGACATTACTCTTCCATTTTCTCCTTGTATTAGTTTTGCTGGTAACATATCATTTTTGCTACTAATTGTTTATTAAATTTATTGAATTTATTTATAGATTTAGATTTTATTTTCTTATTGTTAGGAAATTCCACATTGCTATGCTTGTTTTTCTAAAAAAAAAATTGAGAATTTTTGAATTTTTTTTGCCCATATAGGAACTTGCATATTCAAGTGTAATAGTTTTTACTTGGTTGTTGATCTGCATGTTATTATAGATAATCTTGCAAATCCTCTTTTGGCATTGGTTGTTCTTTTTGCTGCATATTATGTGTTAAATGTTGGCTATCCAGTAGAGATTGCTGCAACCCTTGAGTTTTTGCAGAGGTAAGTCATAAGATAATGTTTATTGGCATTTGTTTATATAAATCTTTTTCATTACCTAACCTGGATTGTATTCTCTAACTTTATCTACTTCTACCCTTCCCTTTTCTTCTAAGTCACTGCATCCTGATAATTTACTGTATGCTCTACATGTTCGCTTCACATACAATTTTTAAATATTATTAAAATTACTTTCTTTTTCTTTTTTTTACTGTAAATAATGATTTATTAATCTTATCTAATTATTATGTAGATGTATCGTAAAAATAAACCCTGACAAAAGGAAACAAAATCGAAAAGAAGATTGGTAAAAAGCAGTATGTCGGAGCTCACCCTAAAGTTATAAGTTTTGTTAACAAACTGAGGCTGTTTGAATGGACAGAGCAGCAATAGACGAAAATACGCTTTGTTTTTATTTATTTTAACTAATAAAATATATTTTCATATATATTTGTTATGTCTGTATTATAAATTGTCATAATATAATAATATTTCTTATTATAATAATAATAATAATATATATATATATATATATATATATATATATATATATATATATATATATATATATATATATATATATATATATATATATATTGTAACTGTTACTATATTTTATTTTTTAACTCTAATAATTATTTTATCACCATATGAATAGTCCATCTGGAAAACGCGCTCCAAATAAATTGATTTTGAGAAAACAATAAATAGATATATACTTTTTTTATTTATGGGACAAAATTTAAATTGATAATAGATTTCAGTGTATAAATTGTGGAAATGGAATTAACTCAAAAAAATTATTTTGTTAGTTAGCGCGTTTGGCATATGGTCTATATGATTAAAATAAATTTTCTTTAAATATTTTTTGTGTGGCGAAATTACTCAAAACTACTGAGTTTTTGTTGTTGTTGTGTTTGATATGTATTATATTATAATTTTTAATTACTTCACGAGTCTAAATATTTGAATTACATTTTTATAACAACGTATAAATTCTATTCATTTATTTTTTACTTTCACGTAAACTCGTGAGTGAACTGTCTATTTGATGAATTAACGGAGTTTTTCCGTAAATTTATACGAAAAAATTAAAATACGGAAACCGTTAGTATTACGGAGAAAGTGCTGCCTGATTTTCTCCGTACGTTTGTACGGAAAAAATGAAATACGGAAACCGTAAATTTTACGGAGAAAGTCCTGTACCTTTTTTAACAGACTTTTTCCGTTGAATTTTACAGAAAAAAGAAACTACGGAAACCGTTAATGGTTACGGAGAAAGTGCTGTCTTCTTGGCTGCCGGACATTCTCCGTTGAATCTACGGAGAATTTTTTAACAGTGTTTTAACTTTTAAGGCCAAGGACTAACAACTCTGGTGGTAATAACCACTTTTACATGACTTTTATCATGCATATTACATACATATACTATTTTTAAATGTTTTAAGGGGCGTCCTTTGACTGTTCTAGAGAGTGTGTGTGGGGCGGGGGTGGGGGAGGGGCAGCTCTCTCCCACGCCTTATACTAAATCAGATATTGCATGTTTCATCAATCTTGTGCATCGTCTTTCTTTAACTCTTTCAAAAATTTTTTATATCTACCTCTCTTTTTCTTATAAAACTTCTCTCTAAATGCTGATACCCAATCAGTAGCACCTTTCTGCTCTACATACCCAAACCAACTTAACTTTCCCTAGTGCATCCTAACAAATACACCATCAGATTCATTTTCAAGATCATCACTTTTGATCTCTAAGATCATCACATTTGAACTCTTTAAAAAGATATAATATTATAATATTATTTTATCTTCATTCAAGTGTAATTTTTAATTAATTAAAGTTTAAGAAATTTATTGATCAGAAAGAAAGTGGCATGTAAAATAAATTTATAGAGAAATTTTCAGAGCTGAAAAGAAATGACAAGCATGTGAATTAAGAAAACAGTTCAGGTTAGAAATTAAAAAGAGCAACTTCAGCAACACTTATCATAAGTGTACTTATCACATTTAGACTTTGATTGACTCCATTGATGCCTTTTCTCTTTTAGACTAGATCCAAAAATAAAAATTGAAGATACAAAAAAATATTAATTTTCAAGGATTATCTTTTTCTGGATATTTCTGGAATTCCTGATATTTTCTCTACTTTTTGTTTTTTTTTAGATATCCAAAATATTTTCATTACATATAAGTTTAACAATTAATATTTTTGTAATAAATTTTCATATATAAATAAATTTCTGTATAAAGAAATTGGAGAGAAAATCAGTGTATCAAGTTGAGATTATAAGGAAATTTTAAGGTCGTTTGGAAATATAGAATGTAAAGATGCAAACTATTTGGACCCAAAAAACTTGATACCCAGAAAGGTAGCATTTAGCAAGGATGCTAAAACAATGACAGAAATAAAAATGTAATACCTTGAATAGACATCCTGCCACTGTAACCGCCATTTTGTTTTTAGTGGCTATTACTTCAACCCACTTTGAAAAATAGTCACTAATAGTTAAAATGTATTTACAACCATCCTCACTAATTGGACTGAGTGGGCCAATAAAATCTATGCCAACCATATACCATTGAGTTTTTACCTTTATTGGTTGCAACTCTGGTTTTCAACAGTTTAATTTTCTATTCATTCTCTGGCATACATCACATAATATAAGCTGAAACAGAATAGAATGGTATAGCAATACTTTATTATAAATTATTAGGGAAAATCAAAATTTTCTCTATTTACTCTAATACATAATAATACAAAATGTAAATTACCAACTCATGGACATTTTTTACCATTCCATGAACAAGGTAATAAACAAATATTGATTGATAAATCAATCAATATTTGTTTATTACCTTGTTCAAATCAAATTAAATATATTCTGAAATTAGTTATTAACATTTCAACGATATTTACAATAGTACAAATACTAGTATAAAGTAAATTCCTAACAAATACAATAACTTAGTTAAAAACATAAACATAGTTAAGCTATCAAACAGTTATACAAATAAAGTAAAAAATAGTTTACAAATACAACACATCAATATAAACAACAATGAAAATAATAAAAGTAATAATAATGTCATATTAATATAGTAATAATAATATGTTGTTTTGATTTGATGTTTATTTTTATTTTAATAATGAGTATTAATATCATATTATATGATATTAATACTCATTATTAAAATAAAAATAAACATCAAATCAAAGTTAAAGCTAAAATATATCAATAATAAGTAATAATGATAGTAAAGTAGTTAAATATGTGTTTACATAATATTACTATTACCTAAAAACATAACAATGTTTAATAATACTAATAATAATAATAGTGAGTGTGTATTTATATAAATATTGTTACCAATATTTATATATAAACGAGTTACCTTGTCTTTCTTTTTATACTTATATAGTAATTCCCCGCCTTCCGAAATCATAAACTTGAAAGCTTTTTTTCTAATTACTCTTTTTTCGCCTTCTTGACTTCTATCAGGGTATTGCTTTTTACTTAAATAAGTAAAAATAATTTGAACAAGGTCGTCTTCCATGATAATTTTTAAGATATATGCGCACATGCAAACTAAATTATAACCACTGATCTCAAAATAATAAGGTGATGAAAAGTGTATTTTTGAGTAATTTTTTGAAATAACTTTAATCAGTGAAAATAAATGCTTATCAGTTAAAGACGAATCAAGCATATGATGAGTTAGTTCTGTGAATACTTTTGATAAATCAACTGATCTCAAAACAACACTTGCATTTGCATTTTTAATTCCTATATCATTAGGCAGGGTAATATTTGTTGATGTAAGAAACCTTTGGAAACATCTTTCTGTCCCTTCGCATACCAAAACAACACATATGCTTGGTTTAACTAAACCTCCTCTAGAGAATTTATTCTTAATAAAATGTAACATACATGTTACATCTTTACATACTATGTATGTGTTAAACTGTCAATAATTATCCTTCAAACTTTGAGGAATAATTATTCACAGTTGAGTTTGACAATGACTTCTAAGTCATTGAAAGATTATTTTTTACTTTAGAATATAAATATTGTTTTATATTTTCACTGATTATTGAGTCCAGAAAGTTAATGCATTAAACAATAAAACGACTTTTATAATCCTAGAAGGAACCTCTGAGTTGTGTGTACTCACAGTTCTCAGCTAATAGTTCATACAGCATTTGCACAATAATGTTTCTACCTACAAAACTCATGATTTTAAAATTCTTTAAAGATTGTAGATAGACAACGTTGCTGCTTACCATACAGTTGTGTTATTAACCTTCTAGCACACAGCATTGGGTAATTAAGAACTAAAAGGTACATAAATTATAAACCTTATTTAAAAAGTGGGTAACAACTCGGTAAACAACGAAAATTTTCGTTTCGAAAATTAAAAGTCGATTTTCATTGGCTAATAAATTAAATTAGACTTGAGCACGTTTTCAACTTTTCAAGTTTACTTCAGTACACGACAACTTCAAGCAAGACTACTTCTTTGGCCGAATTTATTAAAAGCATTAAAGAAAAAAGGCTAATAAATTTTCTCCATCAAAACAGACTAATCCATGTTCGCAAATCTTGTATCTGTGTTCAGCAAATGACTATTCAAAGATTTGAGCGGTGTCTAGTAAGTAAATATCATATTTAATCATATATGTTTCATGGTATTATATCATAATAGGTACGTGGAAATATCCGTTTTACG